TTTTAAGTAATTAGTCAACGTCTGCAATAAGCCCATAGTCTACACAAATTTCTGTAGTAGCTGTCAGACCCAAAACCTCATAGTTCTGTCAAATTGTGGGTGTGGGCAGTCGAGCATAGCTTGAATCTTGGTGTGATCTACTTTAACCCCTTGCGGTGTGATAATGTGGCCCAGGTACTCTAGTTCTTGCTAGCCGAACATATATTTCTTGAATTTGATGAAGAACTTGTGTTGTCTCAAAATTTTAAACACTTGTCAAATGTGTGATACATGTGAGTGTCAGTTAGGACTATAAACTAGGATGTCATTAAAAAATACCACTACAAATTGACGCAGACAAGGCCAAAAAATAGAATTCATAATTGCTTAAAATATAGAGGGTATATTACACAGTCCAAAAGGCATTGCTAGGTATTCGTAGTGTCCGTTGTGTGTCCGAAAGGCTGTTTTGTGGACATTCGACCCATGCACACGAATCTGATGGTATCCTGCTATTAAATCTAACTTTGTGAAATAAGCTACTCCATGCAACTCATCTAACATGTCTTCTACTGTAGGAATGGAAGATCGGTCCTTGATGGTAACTGCATTGAGTGCTCGGTAGTCGGTACAAAAATGCCATGTACTATCTTTTTTTTTTACTAAGAGAACTGGTGATGAGAAAGGACTAGTACTCGTTCGGATGAGATCAAAATGGAGCATTTCGGCTACCTGTTTTTCAATTTCAACTTTCTGAAAAATAGGCATACCAGTAAGGACGAACATTGACCGGGTCAGTACCCTCCTTCAAACTGATCTAGTGGCTTACTTTTCGGGCTGGTGGCAACTCATCTGGCTCCCGAAAACTCTTCCAATAGCAGTTGGATTTCTGGCTGATCAGCAGCTGGGTTTTCCTCTATTCTAGGCAGCAAGCAAACAATATACAGAGAGTGTTTGTCTGCTGCTTCCTTGTCCATTATTCCGGTCATCACAGGTTGGATGGGTGGTGCACTTAGGCCGCGACTAACTGTTCCAGTGGAAGGCCATGATAAGGTTCTTCCAGTTGCAGACAATCAGACCTAGTGATTCTAGCCATTGCATTCTCAAGACAACATCGAGACCTGTTAGAGGTAAGAAAAACAAAGTGAGGGAAAAAAAGATACCTTGAATGTGCATTAGTACACCGTTGAATCGTCTCTGACACCGCATGGGACTCCCATATGCTATTTTGACAGAGAAATATTTTGTGGGCATTACAGGAAGCCTTAATTTACTGACCACCTTTTCATTAATAAAATTATGTGTAAACCTGCTGTCGATGAGGGCAATAATGAGTTGTTGCCGAATGATGGCCTCAACTCTCAGGATGCGGGCAGTAGCCCAACCGGTGAAGGCATATAGCGAGATTTCGGATTCACCAACTTCTATCTCTTCGTCTTTGCTCTGTCCTCCTTCGAGTAAGAGTAATTGTGGCTTTCGACATCGGTGGCCCACGGTGAATTGCTCATCACAATTAAAACATAAGCCATGGATTCGCAGGTGCTGCATTTCTTCCCAAGAAAGACACTTTAGGGCGACGTTACTAGAAACTAGGACACGGGAGGCTTGCTCGGGTAAGGACGAAACTGGTTGTACTCTCCCCGTTCGGTTCAATCTATATTGCCGGCTCACTTGTTCTTCTCGAACGTAGGCTAGCCTAATGACGTCCTTCAGTGTTCTGGGCCGGAACATGCGGATACCATTTACGATCTCTAGTTTGAGCCCACCCATAAAGGCCCCAACTAAGGCCTGTTTAGTCCATCAGTGGACCCTGTTGCCCAACCACTCGAAGTCCCGCTGGTAGTCGTGGAAGGGCCCCATCTGTCGGATACGAGTCAGGGCCTCATCTAGGTCTTTGAAGTCCGTTGATCCAAACTGGACCCATAATTCTTCCATGAACCCGGTCCAAGAGATCTCCATTCCTTCATCTTTGTAGGTGCGATTCACTCACTGCCACCATTAGTTGGCCTCGCCCTCTAGGTGGTAGGATGCCAAAGTCACCCGATGTGGTGCGACAATTCCTTAGAAGTCGAAGTACTGACTAGCTCGATTCAGCCACTTGGTTGGGTCTCCTTCGAAAAAGGTAGGGAACTCCAACTTAGTTGTTCTGAGAAAAAAAGGGCCCCCCCCCAGATATCGTTAATCACAGGGTTGGGGTGTGATGGATTGATGCGTTGTACCCGGTGGTTGTTGAAGCTTTCTTGTAAGGAGATGGTTGCTTCCAAAAATTGTTGGAATTTTCTTTGATGGCTCGGAGTTTGTTAGCTATGCCAATCTCCATTCGGCTAACTTGGTC